TTGTGTAAGACAAGAACATTAGGGGAAGCTGAGCAAGAGATGTGTAGGAACTGTGGTACCATATTTGCAACACTTCTGTAAATCTAAAATTACTTCCAAAAAAATCCACCTTTTTTCCTTTCTAAAAATACATACTTTGTTCCAAACTCGATAGTTTCTAATTTAGTAAATTTAGCCCGGTCTAGAGACTCTGCTTTTATAACAAATTCCTGGGAAAAGCTGTAGTTAGTCCAAGAGACATAGCCATACTTGAGAAACATCACTTAAAGGACATCTAAGGCTATTTGTTTTCTTCTGTCTTCTTTTTTTTTTTGCCTTTGTAAATTTTCTTGCAATAACAACAAGAATGTTTGGTAAATATTCAGCTTTCAAAACAGCATTTCTTTTTTATTTTCCTTATTTAATGTTTTTAACTATTCGGTTTATCTTTGCATATACAATATTTAGATACCTTACCTTTAAAATGCACCAGTCAATCCTATGAATTCTCCATGCTTGGTTCACTTACTGTGTAACTTGAAGATAGTGGAGGTTCTTAAAATTTTTAACTTAAATGTTGGAAAAAATTCAAGGAAAGGTTTAAATACCACCAGTGAACAGAGTGAAACTGGGAAAGAACTATGCACACAGTTCAGTACTTATTATGTATCTCTCTTGTCATCTGTTACTCTTCCTGGGTGGTAAGTTTCTTGATTGGCAGTTGAGCATACATTTCACAATACTGTTCCAGTTTCCCTGAAACTAAGTATTTTCAGAAAACAATGTTTGTGGTTACTAGGAGGTAGACAGAAGTGGGAAACAAAATTGCTATGACGTACTCATAGAGAGCTCTGCCCTTCCCCCATTCCCTTCTCTCTCTCTCTCTCTCTCTCTCTCTCTCTCTCTCTCTCTTCCCCTATCTTTCTTTTTGTCTTTACTGTATGATGGGAATGTGATAATGATAGCTGGAAGCAGAGTAGCTACCTCCAAGCCACTGGTGGAAAATGTCAGTGCCCAGAGGTGAAACATAGGGGAAACTGACTTTTAGTTACTTTTGTTTCAGATTTTAGCTGCCATGTCCCATTATGGGTTTGAATCTAAAAAATGTCCTCTGAAGGCTCATATGTCAAAAAGTGGACACTAGCTGATGGGCTTTTGATTGTCTCATAAGCCCTGTAACCCCACCAAAGGATTAATCCATGGCAGAATGGACTATGTGGAGGTGCAGTTTAGCTGGAGGAAATAGGTCACTAGGGGAGTGCATCTTTACAGGGTATATTCATCCTGTCCATGACCTTTTCTTTCTGTGTGCCTGCTGCCCAGCAGGAAGTGAGCCACCTTGGTTTGTTGAATTCTCCCTAAGAACAGGAGCAATGGAGCCAAGTGACTGTGGATGACACTATGAAAACACAAACCACAATAAATCCTTTTTCTTTTGTTTTCCTAAGTATTATGTCATCTGGATGTAGAGTGACACAATACTGAGTAACAGATTCCCATTAACTTGCCTACAGACGTAATAACAGTTTGCCTTTCAAGCATATGAAAGCAACTCAAATTAATGATCAGCACTAACCCATTTTTTTCTTGAATTGACATCTGGTGGCTGATCCGTAGAAAATGCTAACATTATGTTTTGAGCATGCATTCCATAAGGAGCCATTGAGTTTGATCATGTATGCCTAGTCTACCTATCACTTTTCCTTATCTAGAAACACCTATCCCTGTGCCTTTGACTGCCAGCCTTCTTCTAGAAATATCCCTAAATGCTATACTTAGGGAAGTGAATCTGAGACTTGCCTGTTACTTTCTACACACCTGGCTTTCTGGTGAATAAACTTCCTCTTTCACAAAACATATCATTTCATTGATTGGCATACTGCATACTTGAGAAAACACTGACACTGTAGCAGTTTCATCCCTGAACAACTTTTAGATAGCATTTACAGAGAAGAAACACAGACTACCATTTACATTCCTGTTATTTTGAACTTGATGGTGCTTGTAGTTGAACCTAACTTGAATGTACACAAAAAGTCATCCAAAAGTTACAGTTAGGCAGAAAGGATCTTCATTCCATAGAGCACCAAGTCAGATAGAGTGAATGTCTTAAGGCAAGCCAGCCCTCTTCTTTTCCAAGTTGTGTGTACTATGGTAGGAAGGCCATGGGGCTGAAGGACTTACCACTTACTCATGGCCCTCTAGGAGAGTAGTCTATCATCTAGACTCTGCAGAAGCATTCCCCCAGGTTCATTTACAGACTGTTAGCATTGGAAGTGGTTTTAGCTAGTTTCTAGACACACTTCAGAAGGTTGGGGGCAAAGTTCAATGACAGAGTAACTGCCTGGCTTAAGCAAAGTCCTGAGTTTTATTCCCAGCAACAGCAAAAACACTTTGTATTAATTTAAGTGGATTTTATGAGCAGGAAATTTGCATTCTAGTCATCAAGTTCAGATCTTATTGTTAGGAGGAAAGGCCATAATAAGGAAACGGACTTAATTTGAAGGGCAGGAATGAAGGACAAACGAAACTCATAAGAATGTTATATAATTAGGTAGTATTACAGGGAGGCTATATCAAAACTCTAGAGCAAGGCCCGAAAAAAGCATCCACCCCTGGAGGAGATGAGCTATAGGGGTTTGTGAATCACAAGTGGTAGGTGCTGGGATCTGAACTCCAGGCTGCTGTGAAAGCAATACTTGCTCTTAACGGATGAACCATCTTTTCAGCCCATTATTTGTACTTATTTATTTTTCATTTCTATGTGTGTGGGTACACATGTGGAGGTCAAAGGAAAATTTTCAGGAGTAGTTTGGTCCTTCTACCACCTGGGTTCTAGCTATAGAACTCACATTGTCAGTTTTTGTTACAATTGCCCTTACTTGCCCAGCCATCTTGCTGGCCTTTGATTTATTTCTTTATCTGACTGTGGTTTTTTGTTTGTTTGTTTTTGAGACAGTGTCTCTCTACATAGCCTTTGCTATGTCGCTATGTTGACTAGGTTGTCCCAGATCCACCTACCACTGCCCCCCAAGTTCTGTGTTTAAAGGCATGTGCCACCTCACCAGGCCTTCAATTTTTATAACAGCAGATAACACAAGATATTGTGAATATTTAATCAACTACAGTGCCTGGCATTTAATGAAGACTAAGTTACAATTTTGATGCTGGAATTCACTCAGCAAAGGAAGCAAGGACGAGCTGTACACAGTCGCAGTTAAGGGAAGCTTACAGATGCCACTGATTATGCATGTTACTCCCTATGCCAGGGCTAAGGCTCCGAGACTTTTCCAAGGTTACAAAGTAATCATTACCAGGTAAGAATTCAAGCTGAGATTCATGGGATTCCAAAGCCACGCTTCTCAGACAGGAGCAATAAACTAATCATTGCCAGATAAGAATTGAACTGAGATTCAAGGGATTCCAAAGCCTGCCAGCTTTCCTATTCTTTCTCTTGTGTACTCTCAATTTCCCAGCTTGTGCCTCTTGCAGCAAACTCCCTGAAAACTCCAACTGTCTGGGGGAGTGAAAGATAGGCAGAACAATGGAGGGAAACCTTGAGAAATGGAAGGGACTGAGACTGGGACTGAGAACAGAAGAGAAAGGGATATGGGCTGACCACCTTGGAAATGCCATTTGAGCATTTACACGAAAAGCAGTCTTCACTCAGTGCTTCTAAAACATTGTCATACTACAATCGAGAACCGTGTGATTTTTTTCAATTTCCTTCTTTATAAGTTAGTACTTAAACGGCGTGTTCTGAAAGGATTTGCCTACTTATGTCATTTCTATACTAGGAGTCCACTTGTAAAGAAACCCTTCTTGGGAAGGGAATTCAATAAAAATGTCAAAAATACAAATGGACTGACCTCCTTTGTTTTTTGGCCAACTGGAAAGAAAGTAACAGTACTCGTTTTTAGTAGACTTTTAACATTATTTTGTTTTTACGGGGATGGGACTGCAGTCTTGCAACTTGTTTCTCGCTTGGAAGGACTACCTTTTGTAACTTGTTTCTCTCT